TTGATTATCTGCATCAGTTGACATACATTTTTCTATTATGGTTACTCTTAGTATTTATGTTTGCAAAAGAAGAAAGGCAACACTTCAGATTACTTCAACTTATCAGCATCCTGCAATTTCAAGGACAGCTTTTCATTAAATAAATGATACTTTTTGAGAAAAAAAAAACAGTCCTTAAAATGGTGCAAAGTAAGCACACACACTTTAATTAGGTAATTGGGTAGTAAATGATTATCATAATAACTGTGTTAAATCATAAGAGTCACGCCTGTTTACACCGGTAGTGAAGTTCATATGACACAAATCAAGTAAACCTATAACTAGAAGCATTAATTCATAACAGTTTATGGGGCTGTTAAGGCAGGCACACATTAAGTGTTTGTGGATACCAGCAGCCTCACAATAGGTCTAGATATGCTCATAAGTCTCACTGGTGTGATGCCATGTGTGATAGCGATCATGCTTCTCTGTTCATATCCCTGGGTAGGTTACTGCTTCTTTACTTAATCATGTTGCTCTAAATATTAGAACATCTGGGAGTTCTTTCAGTAAGATTATTGTTTTTACAAGAAGCTTTAAGACAATGAAACATTTTACAGGCTCATGAGTAATAAAAAAATGAAACTAAGAGTCTACATGCATGCCTGGAGCATTAGTCATAATATTAATATGCAAGATATCTGGTATAGAAGGTCAGATTCGAAGAACATGGAATTGATAATCGTCCTAATATCTCGAGATTATATACGCCCACAATACTAGCCTGAAATTTGTTTTGAGGGGAATATGTGGGCTAAACATTAGTTCATTTAACAATTGTAAAACCTTTCACTCGTAATGGTGGCCAAAAAGGAAAATGTTGATCACTATCTGAAGCTATTAAAAAGAATATATGGACATGTATGTCTGTAAAAGTTTGATTGATTTCAGGTTTACTTTAAAACTAAACATAGTTACCTTTTATTAACACTAAATAACAAAGCATAACAATATGGTTTTCACTTCTAACTTGTATTCCAAATTGGTTCCAAATACATTCTTGTAAAACTATTTTTGATAAATTTGATGTGACAATTTTGTTGATTGTAGGGTTTCCATTTCTAAGTAAATCTCAGCAAAAAACACTTCCATATGCAGTGCATTGAAGGCACATTTAGCAATATATATCAAATTGAACTATATGAGTTGATATTTTTCCAACCCCTGCTTAAAATTACGATACAATAGTTCTAAAAAGGGAAAAAGCATGAAACATGATGTTGTTTATATACTGTTGAGAAGCATCTGAGTTAATATTCTCATCTTCTTTATATTGGAGGCTACTAATATTTTCTAAAGTACAGTATGAAAAACAAGTCATTTATGCATTGAAATTAACCTTATTACTCACTAGCTATTGTACCACTAAACTCAAACTCTGGTAAAAGTACAAAATCCAGATTCTTCCACTATTCTAGATTTAGGAGCCTTAAATTTACAACAGGGAATCAACCTAGCCCTAACCTTTGTTTAGGTAATGTAACAGAAATGCTACTCAGTGCTGTACTAACTGGTGAAAAATTGGATTTCAACAGGACGGGACCCAAAAACAAATTCTGCTTAGGGCCCCACAAAATATTTGGCTGCTTGTGGTGGTTTACACAAACAAGGCAGCCATAACGGATTTTCAAACTAAATCCTAAGGAATTTCGAATTCCAGAAATAGAACATATAAATATTTCATCATTATGTTGCATCTTTCAGTGAAGGCCAGTTTCTGTGTTAAAGCCTGAGAATGTTTTGAACCAATTACAAAGAAGTTTGATTAAAACGAAAAACAACACTGACATGCTCTTTTGTGAGTCAATTCTAAGTCATGCATCAGGGCTTAAAGTACTAAGAAGTCCTATGACAGTGCTCAGAAAAATGTGCCTTAGAAACATTTACTGTATTATGTCATCTGCTTCAAAGAATGTTTTGCATGTTTGCATTACATTAATTCTTAAAATTCACTTAAACTCTTTGAAAAAGTAATATCTACATAAATCCCTGCTACTAAATGGATGAACAAAATTCCATATACAGCACATCTATAAACTGATGTTTAGCATGTGGTCAACAGACTGACATTAATCACTAAGGATTTTATTGTCAGCCTTGATGCTGTAAAACAACTCTTATATCAAAGAGTAGTAAAAACAGACAGTCAACCACACGGATACACATGCCTGACTGTAGACTCACACAAATAGAAGCAGGTGATAATAGGGCTATTCTCTATGCAGAGCAATGAATAATTTAAATATAGACACCAAAACAGATTCTTAACTTGACAGAGTAATATGACAGGTTGATGAGAAATATCTCAGATGCTGTAGAGATTCCAAATGGGATATACAACTCTGCTGTATGCAGTTTGAGTGATTAAATGAGATGATATGAATCTGATATTTTAGAGAGTCTTTTTGACTATTTGTGTTTACGTTTGCAACACAATCTACTTCGTTTAAAGCAGTTCACACCTAAAATAGTTGATTTTACTGCAAGTAACAGATAAGATTGTTTCTAATGTTCCAGGTTATTTGCTCCAGATTTAGATTTTGAAATTAAACTGTGATATACTTATATTACTTGCTTCATTTTCCTTTATTTGTTTTGTTTTTTATTCTGTGTGCAAATCAGTATTTTATCTATCCAATACTTGGGTCCAACAAGAGTGATATTAGGACTTCAACAGCTGAGTTGCAGCACATGCAGCAAAATTCATAAGTTAACAAAATATAATCTAGGTTTGTGTGAGGCAGGATTGCAATGCAAAATGGGTATAAATAATCCACTGCAGTTACCTTTTTATTTTAGTTTGGTTGTAGTAGTTCCACACTGAGTAAAACATTCCTTTCTAAATATATACTTAAAGAGCCCAAACATGCAGAGCACCATCCATGTTCTAAAATGTGTTACTCAAGAAACTGGTGGTTAAATTCCTTAAGCCCTCCCTGTGCATCAGCTAAAAGATTTGTATTTTGCTCTCATTCTCTGTGTGAATTTTGTCGACCAACAAGCTGGCTGTGAGCCAAGAGAACCATGAATGCAGTCATCTTCATAAAGGCTTGTAAAAGTGGGCTGGCCTGAGGTCACCCCTGATGCCCCACTGGCTGCCTGGGAAAGGCCCCAGAAAAGCTGCCAGTCACACGACATGGAGCCCAACTGTGTTTGAATGACTACAATCTCTGTTATAAATTTGGTAACAAATTAGCACTGCTGTAAATACTGTGTGCTGCAAAAAGCTGTGGATGAAAACATGTTCTTAACCTTCACAATGCTGTGGCTGGTTATGCTTTCTGAACGTTTTTGGACCATTCTTTGATGAAGTTGGCTCACAAACACTTCAGGCTGAAACTTTCTGGAAACCAATCAACAAATGGGTTTTTTTCCTGTGCAGCATCTGCTAAGATGGAACCAATTCACTGAAAAACTAAAAGAGATGGCAAAGCTGGTGATAGTTAACGGTTTATTGTAACAATGATTAAAGCAGATGAACATAAAAGAAAAGGATGTACAGCTCCCTTCCAAAGTATTCATATACATTCAACCTTTTTTACATTTTGATTATTGTTTCTTTTAAGTTCTATTTAGGAAACTTAGAAAACATGTGCAACAAGATGCACTACTCAGATGAGATGAAACTTTATATTTGCATTTGCATTAATGCAGGACATTATGGTAAGTACACCATGCCTCTAATAAATCATGGCGATGGCAGCATCATACTAAGTGTTTTTTTTTCTTTTCAAAGAGGACAATGAAAAAGGTCAGACTTTATAGAAGGATTAAAAAAAATTAAAGGTCAGTCTGTTAGAGGTGAGAAAATACTTTATGCCAAGGGACAGGTTTATGTTACAGCAGGGATAAAACCCAAAATAAAAAGGAATAAAACTCAACAGAAATGTAAAGCATGTTAATTTCTTAGAATACCCCAGTTAAATTCCAATTGATGGTAGGATTTGAAATGAATCATTAATCATTAATAATGTTAAAAATTTCGAGGGGTTTGAATACTTTTGTAAAGCAGTTATTAAACAGAGCAATAAAAAAAACTTTGGAAACAAACAACGTTCCATTGCTATCTATAACACAAATGTTTACAGATTATGTTTATAGATTATAGAAGTTAATCTATAATACAGACAATTATGCCCTAAATGTTTTTTTTTTCCTTTGCCACCTGTCAAAAAGAACCACCCACCTATAAAAACAAATCCCTCCATCGTTAATAAAAAAAAAAAAAAAAAAAAAAAAAAGAATCAGATCCATCCCCGTGTCCATTGTTTCCATTGCGCATGAGTTCAGCCAAGGAGCAAAGAGGGTTCATGGAGACGCACGGATAAAATATTGCCAATGACAAACTGTTGAAGCCATGAGCTTATGCGGGATTTAAATGAGTGATAATTGTTAGATAAACAAGGGCAAATAATAAGATAAAAAAAAATGGCAAAGGTCAACAACATATTCGAGGTGGATAAATAGGAGCGTAGGATACACATAAGCGCTCCCCCTGAGAGCTTGAATGGAGAAACTGCACCTGCAAAGAAAGAGACAAGCAACGCGCAGCAACTTTTTTTTTTCTTCCAGAAGACAGCTCAAGTTGTCCCACAAGCGTTTGTTATTCCAGCAACGTGAAAGTTGAAAGCAGAAGAGTAGGAGGGGGGGTGCGTGAGGGGAGATGTGCCAGACAAACCAGGTCCCATTTAGGCTATGGAAAGCAGTTTAGATTATATCTATACTCCTCCTGTCCTAGAAGAAAATCTCACAAATAAAACTCCGCAAGAATATTCCTGCTTGGAAAGAGCAGCAGTGTTGTCTGCGCACTGAGGAGGGTCCAGTTCACGGGGGGAACCTTTTTTGACTCGAAATAAGAGAAGGCTGTGTTTGGGTTTATATAAAAAAAAGAAAAAAAAGGGGGAGGAGGGTGGCAGGAAAGAAAGTGGTGGTGGAGACGCAGCGGCAGTAAGAAGCGTGCGTACGTGCTTTATCTTAGCGGCTGAGTGTGACGTGATATTGCAGCCTTGCTTCCAGAGCTCTGCAAGCACCAAGCAAAAGCGCGTCTATTTCTCTTTGTGTTATAACTCACAAGTCCAGGTAAAACATCTCCACATCCCTCCACCAGAAGGATCTCTTCTTTCTTTTTTTCTCTTCTACCCGTTTTTTCCCCAAATCAGAGGAAAAAACCGACTTTACCAGAGAAGAAATCATTGGGGGGTGAATAGAGAATTGGGAGTCTGTCGATTTAATTTATGGGAACACATTTTTTGGGGGGGGGGGAAACGGTCGCTTCTTTTCGTCACTACAAGATTTATTTTTTTTTATTCTCTTTTTCTCTCTTGATATTTTTCTATTCTGCTCGGTGGCTGTCGTGCGCTCCGGTTTTGATGGGAAAAAGCCAGCATCAGAAGAAGGAGAGGACAGGGAGGATATGAGCGGGCAGAGCGGAGTCTAACGCATTTTATTCCCATCCACTGAACCATCTTGTTGCGCCGGACTACTGTCGTCGGGAATGGAGAGTATTGATTCACCGAAGGGCTGCAGAATTTATTTATAAGGATGTGGTCAGTGTTGGAAAAATAGCCATAGCTTCCGCAGTGTAAGGTAAGATTTTCTTATAATGACCATATTAATTGTGATTTTTTATTTTTACAGTGTGTCATGTCTCTGGTAAAGTTGTTAAAATATGTGCCAGTTAGGGCTCACCCGATCGCATCAGTCTGGGGCGCTTAACAAATCATTTCAAGCTGATCTCTCTTTTAAAATGCAAAATTCACTTTAAAGTGCTTCATTCTGAGATGTGGGCAGTAAAATCGAGACTCTCGATCAGTCGTCTCCGGAATACTGATTTTTTTAGTGAAACCCTTGCATGGCTACGGATCTTGCAGGAGGGATCATATGGGTTTACATATCGCTGCAAAAGCTGATCTAACTCTGCACAGCTACCGCAAATCCTTACATGACACATATTATCATGCTCTGACGGAGAGCTCTTTTTTCTCATTATCCTAAAATAAGTTAGAGACGCAAATGTATTCGTCCTGTAAAAAGCAAAAAACAAACTGAAATCTGCAGCCTACTTTGGGATTTTTTCACGCCTACTCACATACACACGTGCGCGCGCACCCACAGGGGTACACACGGTTTGAGAGACGCGCACGCGCATGCACATTCTGCTGTGACACTGCTCACAGCTGCATTGCCTGTAGGATTAAAGCAATCAGGACATCGCATTGCATTCTCTCCCTCTCCCTTCTCACGCGCGGTACAAAAAAAAAAAAAAAAAAACCCACGCGCGCGCCAACACACACGCTCAAGCCCACTCAAATACTGGACTTTTATCAAATTACATTATCAAATATGTCAGACTTTGAAATCGACTGACACGCATGTTGGTGCGCAAGTTTTAAAGCGCGCAGAATAAAGAACAATTATACATTCGGATGGACTTAATGCATCAGCTTAAATATGCATTTATATGCATGCATATATTTAAAACACCATATTCAAAAGAATTGACTTTAATAGGAAAGGATCCTGGTTACTGCGTGATAAGAAACAAATCGTCGCATATTCCAACTCTTGAGCACTGCCATGTCATTATTCGCATTTTTATTTCACCAGCGTGCCATTCTAATCGGCAATATCTCCCGGGAAGGTGCCAATCCAAATATGACCCAATTAATATTGTCTTAATGACTCATATTATTGTGCCCACCTCCCTAAAAAATACATAAATATAAAACACAAAAGGGCTGAAGTTAGCCACAAGGTGGCAGTGTTTGCACAAAATATAGTTGAAAAGGGAGACAAGATGAGGTTGCAAGAGACATGCTGCTGAGGTTAATGTGTGTTTTTTCACCCTTTCCATGGAAGGACTTGGCGAGAACTATATGGAGCATGTAAATTAGAGTTGACAGAAATCATCCATAATTTGTCTATGCTCTGATTTAATCTTCCTTTTGCATGATGTTCTTCATCTTTCCCTGCAGGCCAAATGACATAGGATGAAGGCTGTTCGAAACCTGTTGATTTATATATTTTCCACCTATCTTCTGGTTATGTTTGGATTTACTGGTGCCCAAGATTATTGGTGTTCCACTCTGGTCAAGGGGGTCATTTATGGATCATACTCGGTGTCTGAAATGTTTCCCAAGAACTACACAAACTGTACATGGACGCTGGAGAACCCAGACCCAACCAAATACAGCATCTACCTTAAACTATACAAGCGAGACTTGAGCTGCTCTGAATACTCTTTGCTTGCTTATCAGTTTGATCACTACTCACATGAGAAGATTAATGAGTTGCTCAAAGTGAACGCATCTATTGTGTATCTGTGTGATTCAAAGAATAATTACATATTTTTGCTGTACGACAAAAATTTTGCTCAGCTGCGAAGGGTTTTTCCTTACGATTACAATGGATTGACACCGCAGAAGCTGGATGACGAGGAGCAGTCTATCCTGGAGTTCTTAATATTGAATAAGGCGAGCCCTAGCCAGTTTGGGTGTCAAGTGCTTTGTACGTGGCTGGAAAACTGCCTGAAAGCAGAGAAAGGGACAGTGGAGGCATGTGGGATTGTGTACACCAAATGCACATGTCCCCAGCATTTAGGCGATGGAGAATCAGAGAGCATGCTCATGCTCAATAATGTGGTTTTACCTCTAAATCCACAAACGGAGGGTTGCTTGTCACCTCAGCTGCATGTCGGTCAGGTCTGCAATCTGAGTTCAGAAGTAAGGCGGCCTCCTAAAGAAGGTAAGTATCCACTCATCTTATTCCTTTTGCCCAATTAGTGAAAGATGTAATGCACTCTAATCTTTGCATAGATAAGTTAGTAAAAATGTAAATGAAATGTGCACGTCTGTCACTCCTTCCTCTGCCCTTAATGCATGTTTGAACTGTGATGGCCCATGAAACAAAGAGCACACATAGATATGTGGACTGCAGTTGTCTTAGTAATGTGTCAACTACAGATCTAAAGCTGACAGGGGAGTTGGGTGTAGTAAAGACCACGCCAGCAAAAAACCGGCTACCTAAAGGGGTTCTTTCATTTGGTCAGACTGAATTAAAAACGCATTGCAGTGAATTTAAAATGGATGTTTTCTGTGCACATCAGCACAAAGTTAAAATGGCTGCAAATCCAAAGATACTTTGTTTGTGTTTGTTTATACATTTATGTCAAAGTCATCCTTTCAAAGATTTACAGTAATCTGGAAATATTGTCTTTATTATTTGGCATTAAAGCCACTGGCAAAGAATGGGATCATTGATGCAGCAGTGTCCAATTGGCATATATTGTTTAAGATAGGACTTAAAACTACATTGCTTTGTAACATAAACCAGATAATACTTTGCCCCACAAAAGTATTCATACCCCTTGAACTATTGAACATTTCGTAAAATCAATACACACAAAGCATAGCATTTCTAAATTGGATATTTTTGTGAAAATACAACAAGCATAATTTATGATTTATTGGAGAAAGGAAATAAATACTTTTTTTTTTTTTTTTAAACATAGTGTTGGTAGCTTAATGTTGTGTAGATTTCTTTTATCCACCACAGACATAGATGCTTGTCAGAGTTGATGGATGGATGGAGCTAAACACTGGAAACTCCTGAAAAAAATCTTGGTATGTAGATGCTGCAAAGGACTTGAGACTGTGTGGAACTTGGTTGTCAGCAACCACGCTAGAGTTACCAACACGTTTCAATGGTAATGTCAAGGTCAAAGCATTGTAATCTGTTAGAACAGTGTAGACCTAAATCTTGTCATAAAAATGGCCAACAATGTTCCGCTATAGATTTTTAAAGCATGTACAACTATAATCACATAGAAAGATGGTGTTAAAAAACATGCAACAGTTTACAGGTTTTAAAACTGAAAAAAATAGAAAATAATTTGTAACAATTAGGTGCAATTTTGTATTAATCTATAACATTAAATACCAAGAAACTAAATTAAAGTTTGTATTTGTGACAGTAGAAAATAAAATTAAAAACTAGGGGTATTAATACTTTACACGAGACTGTAATTTACAATGTCCGACAAAAAACCCAACATATTCACAGTTTTAGAGCTGTTCACTGTTGTCATAGAGCACTTTAATCTTTATTGTTTCTTAGTAATCAGACACAGTCTGTGCTGTCAAATGTTTGCTGAAGAAAATGTCACAATCATGGTACTTGTTTGGTGTTGATATTCACACTTGCAGATGATATGCAGGCATCTATATACATTCACACTTAAATAAACTGTTGGGACATGGACTGTCCTCATAAGCCTCTTAATTAGGTTTGCATACTTAAAAGAGAGAGTAGTTGAAGCTGTCAAACAAACATAGTTTTCTGTCTTGATTTCTGGGAAGTTTATTTTAGACCTATGCATGGTTATGATTTACTAGATAGCAAAAAAAAAGAAAAAAGAATACTTGGATGAATTTGCAGCACAGCTCAGCAAGGCTCTTTTGCTGTAAGACATGGGGAGTTATTCCAGTAGACAGAGCCATAAACAATAAATCTGCTTTTAAGTTTTTGGCTGAAAAATGTTGTTAGCAGAAATTGATGCAGTTTACCTACAGTAATAACCAGCATCATTGAGAACAGCTGGTGGTTTTCTTATCTAAGCAAATAGTACAATATTGATTGCAGATGTAAGATGTTTTGTCATCTCCACCTGATAATTTCTTTAAGCATTTAAATCTTAGGGAACAAGCCTGAATCATAATTTCTTGTTTTATTAAGAGAGAACTTTAACACTATAATGAGTCACTCTTGCTTAAAATGTCTGCATGATGTAACAGGTATGGATGACAAAACCACTTTGACTACAATTCACCTACCATTTGAATCTCTTTAGCAATAATGCATGCAGTATCTGATGTAAATTACTATTAAAATTCAGCCTACGGTCAAGGAGCAAGTGCATTAAGACTCAGTATGACTCAGCTTTGTATTTATTTATTTTTTTAAATGTCTGATGTAGTGACAAAAATACCGATAGGACTTGCACAAAAATATTTGCTGCTTCAAAATAACATATCACATATTTTCTGTGTTTGCATGTTAATAACAGCTTAAGAGCACGGCTTATTTTTTTTCCTCCTCTCAAAAGATTTTCTGCTAGCTTCTATTTATAGAGTTGGTTGATGGGAGGTTTTAATAAATCCTTTTTCATCTGGATAACCGTGAGATCACCACTGGGTTTAAAAGAGCACTGTGCTTCCTGTGGCATCATGGTGATAGAGCGTGTGCTGCTGATGAAGAATAAAGCATTACAAACAGCCAACAAGAGCTACATTTGATATAAATCGTATGTCTTTAATCTTCTCAGTTCCTTGTAAACCATGGCTTTCACATCAAAGGAAAGCTCGGCTGGAGATTGTATACTCAAGCTATTGCCACAGCAATACCCCAATGGTCCTCCATGTTGGAGGAGGATAGCACTTAAAGGTTAAAGCTCTTAACTAGTAAAGATGATTAGACAGACAAAAAGATAAACCCTATACCTTGATACTGTGTCTTTTTTAAAGCTATACTGGCAAACAGAATCCAGATGCACCACTTGGGTTACTCATTTATTCAGTGTTTTCTGTCATGCATTCCCCTTTCATGAATAAAAAGTTGTAGAAAAAGGCACAGAGGCATTCACAGCATGGAGGATTAAAAATCTTCCATTTTTTTCCTGGGTGTTCTCTATTTGTGTGGGTTTTTCCTCCCACATCCCTTACAATCAAAATCAAGATGATGACTCTTAGCTCCTGCAAAGTGAATGACGGTATTCTTCTTCCTCTTCTTCCTTTTGCTTTGAAATCCAATTAATGCTCGGATTAGCTCAAGCTAGTGTGACTGAATTTTGGAGCATGGGAGGTAATTGCTGGTTTAAGCAGAGGCAGGCTTTAAAGTGTTTTAAAGATTTCCACTTTTAACATAAATTCAAGGTGAGAGTAAGCAGACATTCAGTAGCCAAAGTCTTTCTTAGACATGGGCTGACACACCTACCAAATTCTCAGAATTCTCACTGTACGATCATTTTGTGTAAAAATGTTTTGGCTTATCAGTTTTAGGGAACTACAAACACAAAATATATGTTATCGTATATATATATATATACATATATATATATATATATATATATATATATATATATATATATATATATATATATATATATATATATATATTTTTTTTTTTTTTTTAGACAGATTCAAATTGAAATATATAAGACTAATCAACCTACTAATAGACCTTTTTGGTATTCTAATTTTTAAGAACTAACACTGTGGAAATCCCTGACATTAACTGGCTAATTTTCAGAGATGTAATAATTCATGACTTTACAATGTTTGGTGCATTTTTTTTGGTCATATTCCAATTAGCTGTGTATTCCTCAATAAAATAAAGATGCAAAACAAAATGCGTATTTATTTGTTAAACAGTAAAAAAAAAGAATACTTAAATTTTCTGGCAATACTGTCAAATATTATTTCCTACCATAATCTAGTATAACAGTGGCAGGAGTATGATATTTTTTTAATTGAAAATAATTTAGCAAAAGAAAGAAATGCACTTAAAATGGCTTTCAATGATTTTTTTTTCCGAAGACTTTGTTGACATCTGATGATAAATTGGGTGTAAATAAAAATATTATGTTGTTTCAAAATAGATTTTAAAAATTGCACTTACAGTAGCTGTGCTGAGGTGTTGAAATAAAAACTAGCATATTTGTTTTTGAAAAGCCTCTTGAAAAATTGATTATTTACAACACAGTACTAATGCTTCTTCAAATTAAGAAACAAAACAAAAAATTCATGCCTTTTGGGTTTGTTTAATACTTCATGAGCTTCAGTTGTCAGCGAGTGGGAGGTTTGTAGAGGACCCAAATAAAGAGACTGAGGTGGTTTCTTGCAGATCTAATATTTGGGTGGTTGCATAAATCCTGACATAACTAAGCAGGGAACACAGGAACCAGAACAAAGGGGAACACAGGGCTCAGTGATGAGTAACTGCAGAGGAGGACTATACTGTATATGCCAAACAGAACAATTAATGGAGAAATCAACTAATTGGGAGCAGGTCTTGACAGAAGTAACTAGAAGAGAGCTAGGGAGAAAGGGGAGGGGCACTAGAGGGCAACAGAGAGCAACAAGGGAATACAGCACGGCTTAAATATAACTAGGAAAGAACTTAAATGAAGTTAAAGGGGAAATAAACTAATGACTAGAAAATACACAATGACCCAGCGAAAACTAGAGGATAGGGAAAGAGACTGGAGATAAATTAAGAAAACTTTGATGCCCTGGGAAACATAACTTAAAGATAACTGTAAACAATGAATGGAAAAATAAATCTAGAGCACTAAAGAATGTTGAATAGAAGATAACTGAAAACCCATCAAAAAGGAATAGTTAAAATAAGAAGTAAGTCAAAAGTGATGCAAATCTTAACAGCAATCATAGAACGACATAAATCAAAGCCTAATTGAAAACCTAAAGTGAAAACTTGAACATAACCCAAAACCCAAAGCAGCAGTTCACGACACAGGGTACACTTTAGCATTGATTTTATTTTACTAATGCTTTGTGTAAACAGTTACTTTAATCAAGTAACATAGTAAAGTAATTTTAAATATTACTGACATAAAGTTTTGGTTTAGTGTACCTGTCTTTCTCCATTGTCTCTTTTGACAAAAACATCCTAAAATTAAGACTTCAGTATTTTAAAACCCTTCGAATCTTTTTAGTGACTCTTCTTAA